CAGGAGTAGCTTCTAATTCAAGAATAGGCAACTTTTGATTAGGGTACTGGAGGCAGCTGTTGATTAACTTAGAATGATAATTCAGAAAAAATATGGAATAAGATGCAGTGGCCTAATTGTTCATAGGAAGTTTATCATGTGCGAATTAATATATTTAAATCTGAAATACAATGCATCATTTTAAGATGATCACAGTCCCCTTTTCAGCATTTTAAGATGATCACAGTCCCCTTTAAGAAGCTGCTTATAGTCCCCCAATAAATCATCTTCTCTTGGACTTTTCCTTTTCTATTATTTTAACAATTATATCTTTATGATTGACTAATATAACATCACCATATCTGCAAGCACATGGGAAAATAGTTTTTGAAGAAAGAAAAACTAATCTGTATTTACACTTTATTAGCTAAAATCCCTTTTCCATACATTATTTCAAGCATATCTCACCCATTCACATGGGGTATGCATTATAGAGCAGAAACGAATTCAGAGACAGTGAGGGACTTACCCCATAGCAAATGGGCACCTGAGGGAAGAAGTAACATTTTGTAATTAAAAGGATAAAGCTTTCTTTATATTATCCAATGTCACTTCAATTAATTTTTAAGAAAAAAAAAAAAGCCTTGGGATCATGCAGAATTGAATTAAAATCTTGACGAGGCCTCCTGCTACAGATAAAAATTTGGGCAAGTTAACTCATGTCTGAGCCTTATCTATAAAATAGTGTCTTCACCTGGTTGCCATGAGAACCAAATGAAAAGTCTCAAGAGTCAAATGCAGGGACGCAGGAAGCTGGCAGTCAATGAGAGGGCTTCCTGAACTGACTTGCAAAAATTACCTTGTAACTCAGGTAACTTTGCCAGACTCTAGAGCTGGTTTCCTGTCCAAGTGGGTTAAAACCAGGCATTAGAAGCCAAGGCTTCTCGTGCACCAAGAAAGAAGGGTACCAACCAAATTAAAGCAAGACATTTAGCGTTCTTTCTACATTAGAATTTAGAACCACTAGCGATATAATAAAAAAACTCAGTCGCTTTCGCAAAGGTTGTGTGGCACTGAAAGTCAGCTTGCAACTCAGTCTGAATATTGTTTGTTAAATCAGGAGTTGAGATTAAAAATCATCTCGATATCCTTCCTCTAGCCTTGCAAACATTTTGAGGTGTAACCTTGACAGCAAGAGAGGATAGTGTTTGTTTTTATTAAAAGGTCTTTCCTGTTCTTTATGTGAAGGCTTTCTCTTGATCACAGCGGGGCTGGATGGAAGGAGATCAAAACAG